AAGTTTTTAGGTTATTTTGTTTTGTATTTAAAAATAATAAAAAATAAAAGGGTCGCAGAAAAAATATTGAGTTATACTTGTGAGAAAAGTTTTCTTCAAGCTCGAGTTAATGCACACTCGGCCTAACGGCCTCGTGAGCAACTTAAAAACTCACCTTGTAAAACAAATAACTATTTTATTTTTACATTATGTATTGCAAAAAAAATAAAACAAATAAACTCTTAACACAACACAAAGTTAACATTTTTGTTTTATGCAAAAATATTTGGTATAAAATATTTGCCACTTTTCCACATGTCTTAAACTAAATAAAAATAAATATTGAAAAAATTACAAAATAATGTTAATCTTTTTTTTATTTTTTGGAGTTTATTTAAGACCTCTTCCACAGAAATTGTTATATTAGGATGAACATATATTTTCATTCATTCTCTCTTCTCTCATAGTATTCCTAAGATAAGTCTTAAGCAATTTTAGTGCAGAAAAGCTTCTCTAAGCTGTTGCAGTGCTTACCGGAAGTGCGAAGAATATTTTCAGAAAATCTGATATGTTTGGGTATATACCCAAATTTTTAAAAATTGAATTGCGTTTGATTTATACTCATCAACTTTTCGCAGATATTCCCATCATAATTCAAGTTCTGCTCTCCAAACTGCATGATTATTGCACTTTAGAAATTTGCTCCTCTTCTATAACTGTCGGATTTCTGTGGAACCAACATTGCAAATGATGACAACAAATCTTTATGTTTAATAAACCTGCTTTTTAATTGTGTCATGACACTGTCCAAGAAGTTCTTGGCAAGAACGGGTTAAATATTGTGCTATAATATAATAATATAATATAAAATTGTGCTATAATATAATATAATATTTCTATGGAACCAACAGTGCGAATGATGACAACAAATCTTTATGATTAATAAATCTGCTTTTTAATTGTGTCATGACACTGTCTAAGAAGTTCTTGGCAAGAATGGGTTAAATATATTGTGCTATAATATAATATTTGTATGATCCTGAGCATACATGTAAAATCATTTATGTAATTAAATAAATAAAATATTTTTTGATGGGTTGTATTAATTAGTAATATTTATGTAATTAAAGATTATACAACATATAATAATCAAAATACCTACATCTTTAAATATTGTTATCTACTATAGTAATAATGAATTTAGTAACAATGGGATAAAATTTTTTTAATTCGGCATTGTAAGGATTTATTTTTATTAGCGAGACTCTTATCGGTATTATTTTACAATAATATTATACATAATTTTAATTTTTAAATAATTTATTAACTATGTACATATGGCGCACCATTTTACTTTTTATTGACACCAAAAAATTAACTCAAAACAAAAATTACCGAAATTAAAATTACCTAGAAAATATAAACGTTCATAAAACTTACTAAAATAAATTTAATTATAAATTAAAATCTACCAAATTATTTTTTGGTGTATCAGATAAGTTTCCATATATATTTACATCATTCTGGTGTGATCTATATTTTTAAGCCTGTTTTTATTGTATGAATATTTTTTTTCTATTAAAAAAAGGTGTTTATATCTAAATAATACCATTTCATTTATTAATTTAAAATTAAGTTAAAGTAGAATATTTATTTTGGAATAAAAATTAGACAAGATTTGAATCTGTAAGCGCAAGGCGAATTTTCTCGATGAAACATTCGATGAATTAAAATGCTGGTTATCACTCGTAAACAGAATTTTAATTTGGCGCTAGTGCATGGTGCGGTTATGTTACGTACTACTGCCACCAAGCAAAATAACGAAGGTACATAAGCTTGAAAATAAATTAGGCAACAGTGCAGTCCAAAATGTTCAGTGCTATCAATAATGTATATCGACATGATTATGATTATTAAATTATGTAAGGGGTACATTTCAACAAGACTGCCCTGCTGGCTTTATACGAAATAATTTAGATATGGATTTCAGACTCTCCTAATAGACAATTGTGGTTCATACGTGTCCGAGCCGACTACCTGCACGGTAATAAGCATAGAAAAAGAATATAAGACGTAATTGAAAATAATCCACAAACAACATTAATGGTGGATTGAAAATATTGTATTGTTTTTTAGCTTTTAGTAAATAAAAACCCATATCTTGGTAAAAAGGATTTTCTTTATTTTTATTTCAATAAGTTAATTAATAAATTAGGTAAGAAAGAATGGAAAGCAAAACAGGTAAGTAAATAAAATGGCAGCACTGAATTTGAATGCACCGTTGCCTAATTTATTTTCGAGTTTAGGTACCTTCGACGTTATGTAATTTCGCTTGGTGGCAGTAGTTCGTAACACAACCGCACTGTGCACTAGCGCCAAATTAAAATTCTGTAAACCAAAATTTTAATTCAGCGAATTTTTCAGTCAGAAAATTTGAGGTAGGTACATAATATTTATTCCAAAAAATAAAAATAAGAAATTATTATTTTGTCACATACAAATAGCATTGAATTTAATATTTAAAAAAATAATCTGTTTAAAAGAAATATTGCAGGAAGGTGCTTAAATAAAAATTTAAATAACATAATAATTAATAACAACTATACCACAACTTTATTCCCGTATAAAAATTGTTTAATAGTTATTTATGTATTAAGGGCATAATAAGGTTTTTATGGTTCGAGGCGCTATTTCGAGCCCGAGCGCGTTAGCGCGAGGGCTAGAAAAGCGTCGTAGGACCATAAAAACCAGTTATGCCAGCAATGCATACAAAACTTTATGCACGATTAATATATTATTATTTTTAATATATTATTGTTTTTAAAGACGTTTACGTCAAAGATTTTTTGTTATAATTGTCATATTATAATGTCAACTGACATCAGTCAGTTTTAAAGTTTAAAGATTAATGAAATTGAGGCTCGAGCTGAAAAGGCGAAAAATTGCGGCCTGCTGCCGGAAAAATCAAAATCTTTATACGAAAAAACTTACTTCGAATATATCAAATGGTGTAACATTGTTGTTTTTAATTTTTGACGTTTCATTATAGCCCGCTGGGTCATAATAACGCCCGCGGGCTATAAAAAGACGTTTACGTCAAAGAATTTTTATTATAATTGTCATATTATAATGTCATCGTGCATAAAAGTGTTTTAATCAACAAAATAATTCGTATTATAAATATGTAAATATCGTATTATAAATATGTAAATTTTAAAAATAATAATAAAAATAAAATTGTATTTAATTCTTAATAGTCAAATAAAACTTTAAGTAATATTAAAAACATTTAAATATTAAAACAAATATTTCGTGCAAATTATTTGTGTGTCGAATAAGAAACTTCATCACTTTAATTTCTAACAGGTAAATTAATTTTTATGTCGACGAGTAATAATAGAAATTAATTACGACATAAAGATAATTTCAGTATTACTTTTTCTTAAATAAATATTGCGCACCTTGAATTAACTGGCTAAGAAATTCGATGAATTAAAATTTTGGTTTACATAATTTCAATTTGACTGCTCCAAGTAGCGCCTTGTTAAAATTATCTCAACCAAAATTTTAATTCATCAGAGCAAAGACTCCCCCCTTTGGTGCTTATGTAATACTTGAATTTATTTTTGTCTTGGTGGCATGAATGTAATTAATGGTGGATTGAAAATATTGTATTGTTTTTTAGCTTTTAGTAAATAAAAACCAATATCTTGGTTGGATTTTTAACTAATTCAATTTTAGAGAGTAGAATTCTCCACCTGGTTCTTTTTAAAGAAAATTTTACTGATTAATGAATTAACTTATTAATTATGCATACCATTTACAAAATAAACAAATATTAATCACCCTAAACATAAAAATAGTTGGTTATAGTCTTAGAAGGTTAGTGATAAGTCGTGATATAGACTTCTAAGGTTATTGTGATAAGTTTGACATAGAGCGCTGCCATATTTTGAATAAATTAAATTAAAATTACACTCGTTAACATAATTTTTTTTTTTAATGAAAAATTTGTTGACCAGTTTTATTTATAAATAACCCTGACCGACTTAGGAATTCCCTGACTTTGTATATTTTTTTGCCAATTCCCTGACATTTCCCTGACATTTCAAAAAAATTGAAATTCCCTGACATTTCCAGGTTTTCCAGGTTTTCCAGATAAGTGGCAACCCTGTCCTTCCTTTTGATTAAAAAAGTTTATTCTGAACCCATAATTTATGTATATCAAGCAGTAACTAACATATGTTATCCTCTAGAGGTTGTTTCTTAATTTTTTTATATTCTTGTCACAAATTTTAAATGTCTTTTTTCCCTCTAGAAGTCTTCAGCATCACTGCATTTATTTTTCAAAACATGTGCCTAAATGGCTAAAATGGTGTTTTGGTACCTGTAAAAGAATAGGTAAAGGAGCATTGCCTTTTAGAAACAGGTTTAGTATTCCTATAACTATAATATAATTATTATAATATACCTAATTAATTAATCTTTTACAAGCACAAACAATTAACTAAATTTTCACTAACTTCAACAAAATTTATTTGCTCTTTTCAGAGGCTTTAAGCCGTAATTTTCGTTTATCAAACCTCCTATGCAAATTTAGGTACTTATAACAAAACACATTGCAAACTGCGAACACAACCCAATTGTGTGTTTTATATTGCCGCAATCCTCTTCAAACCCAAGTTTTTGTCAATAATAAGGTTTAGTCAGTTTAGTTAATAGTAATAGTAGTTAATAATAATATCATTGTATCTTTCTTATAATGTAATAAACACATATTTTAGTATACCTATGTAAGATAACCTACAAATCTTTACTGTCATTTAAAATTTGCTATGTTGCCAAATTGGTTCGAACTTAAATCAGTGGATATGCGTAAATCAGTTGATATAAATAAATCAACGTTTCTACATATGGCCCATGGTCTTTAAACATTAAAAAAATAAAAATAAAATGTTTGTGTGCCATTTTAATTTCGGGCCACCCTGTATAAAAAATGCATAAAAATGTAGTTTACTTACTAAAGGTGTCCATCCTGCATAGTCTTTTTGATTAATATTATGGTTATTTTTCAACAATTCCGTTACTTTTTGGATGGAACGTGTTTTACATGCCAGATGAAGTGGAACCTCACCATTCCTATTTACTTTTATTTTAACTGCACACGTCAGGTATCTTACACAATATTGACTGCCCTCAAAATATACTATTGTATCAAAATACGGGATTTTTGCCTAAAAAAAAATTTTAATTTAAAATTATTTGCAATGGGTAAAGGAAAAAGTCAGGAGACACTTTTTTCAACAAATCATAAGTAATATTAGCAGCGCTAGGGTAAGATATTGCGATATACAAATTCAATTAATCAATTAATCAATTACTCTATCTAAGATTCATCAATAAATAAGGCTATGTATGGATACCAATTAAAATTAAAAAAATAACAATTTTAAACCATATTTCAACTATTTTTAAAATTTGAAGTGATGATACAAGAACAATTTGTGTCCAATTTTAATGAAATTTTCCAAAGTTGAACTCAATCAAAATTAGCTAAATATTATATTTTTTGTATTACAAAAAAACTCGACGAGTAGGTAGTGATATTTAGGTACTAAAAACTGAAAAATAGGTAACTAAAAAGGTACTAAAAAAAGCATTTTAGGTTAAAAAAAACAGCATTTTAAGTAAAAAAAATCATTAAAAGTTTAAGTTTCGTTTATAATTTTGTTTAGCCGCATACCCAAACACAGAACATACCCACAATAAACTATTTCTATGCAATAAACTGTGTTTTACTGAGTGACACTCACTGCACAGAAGTTCTATGACAGAACATAAGCTCACTAGTAGTGAGTAACTACAAAGAAGGTAACTGTAAAGAAAGTTACTGTTACAGTCTGTAACCATAAGAAATTCTATACCGTTGAGTTGCACGCCCTGGATAAAATATTGGCGCAAATTTTAAAAAGAACAAAAAAAATAAAATAAGTAAAACTACGTAAAAATAGGTAACAAATATGTGAAAATAAACTGACAAATTAAAAAATATGTAACAAAAGTATAAAAAGGTAGTTTAAAGCAAAAACCTCCAAAAAAGGTAAAAAAGGTGAAAAAAAGTTAAAAAAATAGGTAACAAAAGTATAAAAAAGGTAGTTAAAAGCAAAAACCTCCAAAAAAGGTAAAAAAGTTGAAAACAAGTTAGGTTCATATAAAAGAAAATCTTTTAAAACACATTTTGGCATTATTGGTTTTCAAATAGTTACATCGGTTAAAAAAAGGTAAAATAACTAAAATCCCATCCCTAGTGATGATACAAGAACAATTTGTGTCCAATTTTAATGAAATTTTCTAAAGTTGACAGCTGGATTTATGCAGCACAAATTAACATTAAGTTAACATTAACATTAACATTATCATTAAGAAGTTAAATGAACGTAATCCATTGCAAGCTTTTATGCAACAAATTAACATTAACTTTAACATTAAGTTAACATTAAGAGATGGCCAACTTTTATCTTCTTAATGATAATGTTAATTTTTATTCCTCCTGCGCAGGTTTGCGGCGCAATTTTTAAATAAACCGTGTCAGTAATGCCAACATATAACCTAAAATAAAATGAAACGTGCTGCTGAATGATTGATTTTTTATTCAATGATTGTGTTCTTTGGATTATTGTTTGACCTGCAGTTTATAGTTTTCATTCTTTTTACCTACATATAAGATGCTAAAACGGGGTTAAAACAAAATTCAAACAAAATGTCAGATGTCAAAATTACTTTAACTTATACGCACGCTTAATTTGCCATTTGCCACTAATTTTGCTGCATATAATACCCACCTTAAATTAGCTTAATGTTAACTTAATGTTAATGAGGAGGGAGAAGGACCTTGGACCAAAGAGATTATCTTTGGCTTGGACCAGGGTGGAAGAAGAAGGTGATATAGCTCCTATCTCTACAGTACAGAAGCAAGCGTCCAGATAAGTCAGTATTTCGTTCGTTGTTCGTTAGATGGCGAGTCAACTAAGAACCTAAGGTTTTACCAACGAAATCCATATATTCTATAACAACTTAACTTTTAACAACAAATTATAATATAACGAAAACCCAAGGGGAGTCTTCTACCCTCCTTAACAAAAATTCCTTTTTTTCTTACAGCATTATTATAATAATTTGCAGAACGATCGGCAATAATGTATTATTGCCAACTGTTCTGCCAAAATGCGCAGTCGCCACAAACGCACAAAACTTTTTTGTGACAAAAGTGACGTTGAAATGGTTTTATTTTAATTTTAATTAAGCTTAGTGGTCTATTCTGTGAAGTTAATCAATGCAATTTTACTAAAAATGGGAAAAGTTTGTTGTGCAACGGGATTAAAACAGGTTCCAATTCAATGCGCCATCTATTCAGACTTTTAACAAATAGTTATTTGGCCGCGTTCCGGGATAGAGATGTATCACCTCCTTCTTCCACCCTGACTTGGACCATTGCGCATCCAATTTTATGGCGACAGGCTCATGACTGCCTTTTGGACTAGATGTCGATAATATAGACTTCTTTATCTAAATGCATTGAAGTCGAAGGCCACCATTTTAAATAAATTCTTTAATTAAAATTTAAAAAATAAATAAATATAAAAATAAAACCAAGTATTTTATTCAAAAATTATTGGAGAATCGTATAAAGAAGAAAAATCGAACAAAATTGATTTTTTTTATTACAGCGCCATCTAGGTATTACAAATATGAAAAAATGTTTAAGACAAAATCTACCTATTTTTACTCGAATCTGCAATAAAAAATAGGGTGTTCCATTGTAACAGGAGGAACAGTTTCCCCTATAAGGAGAGTATGGCGACCAATTTTAGTACTGATTGATTTCCCCCCCTCGAATCATTTAATTTTTATTTTAAACATTTTTTCGTAAAATGCATACTAACTCGCCCTGTATAATGTATTGATCTTAAACTTTTTTATATAGGTATTTGAGGTACGTCTGAATCAAATGCCAAATGCCTCCATTAGGTCGATCTCTAAGTTTCTACCCATTTAGCAGATCTTAGCAGGCCTTAAAAAAAACACATTTCCAAAATAATGGGGTATTGCAGTCTTAAATCCCACACACTGTATATGTTTTCTTTAATTTGTATGTGTCTACCTGATTATATATTTTTTTCGGAATTATTAATGTTATTTGTCTTACAGTTAAGTACAGAAGTACAGATTCCAATTTATTTGTAAATCTGAGCAATTCTCTCTTTACCCTAACTTTTGCATTTGTAACTATAGTTACCTACTGACAAACAAAATACAATACAGTAGGCTACTGTATTGTATTTTGTTTTTGGGTTATATTATTTTTGGAACACCAGTATAACCTTAAAAAAACGAAATTTTTATTTTTCCATATAAAAATGTACTAGTACAAAAGGTATTATTTTGTGCTAAATACACGCATTTTGTAACCTAAAATATCAATATTTTACTATAATATTGTGATACAATTGTTTAAAATTGAATCAATATTAGATTGCATTAAGTATGGCAAACCAACCTTATTTTTTTACTCTATTTTTAAAAATTTAATTCCAGTCAAGGGGACCAGAAATTTTCACGAAATCACCGATTTTGAAAATAATCACATAATTGTGTAGTAGGCATGACCCATATGTCACAGTAAAAAAATTGTTTTGAAATTCAGTTTTTTGTTAATGTTATTTAAGTTCATAATTTTGTCAAACTTAAGAGCACGGTAAAATTGAAAAAAATAGAATCTCTTGGACCACTCTGTATAATTGAATTAAATTTTACACACTATTGTAGCAATGTTTAGACTATAGAATAGTCATTTAATTAAGGTAAATTTGTTTAAATACAAGAATTTTGCATACATTTATTATATACAATTAAAATTTTTTATCTCCACGCGGTCTATAATTTAAACTTTATTGTTGTCAACATTCGATAAAGAAATACCTTGTTATGGCCTAGGCAGATAATAGTATATTATGTATGAAGTTTGATAAACGCTATTTTATACACGAATTTAATTTAGGCACGAGCGAGCTTGCGAGCGAGTTCTTAAATTAATGAGTGTATAGAAAAGTTTATAAAAGAGGTGCATACTATACTTTTTCTACGACAAATACTTATTATTATCCTAAAATGATTTAAATCAAAAATTTGTATAGAGCGCCATCTATGAAACAATAGGGGAATCTGTGTTAGGTACCGTCAAATGTCAAATTTTTCTGTGTTATAAAGGTTATAAATCGAAATATTTTCGTTGAAAATCGATTAACAAGAGTTTTTCTCAGTGAAAGTAAAGAAAATGTTTTATGGGCTCTTCACGGTGGAGTCCGAACTCGAATTTAAGTTATCCAGTTTACTTTCGGCGAAATTAAAAGGTCAGTACAATGTTCATATAAACTTTTCAAATATTGGCGTTGAGAAACTATTTAATACTTTTGTATTTTTGTATTGCGATAATAAAATAATTTTCATATTTAATATTATTTTACAAGAAGGGCACTTTATTTTAACGATTGTATGACATTTGACAACTGTCAACTAACAGTTGACCAACTGTTCTGATTTAATCAGAACTATACTGTTTTTGAGGTCTTCATTCTGACTGGAAATCGAAGGTAGTAAAGGTTCTGATTTTCCTATTTTGGTTCTGGTCTGTTCTGATTTAGCTTACCATATAAAATAAACTTCCAATTTTTATAAATCTATATTAATTTATTAGGTATACCTACCTAATATCTAAAAATAACTAGGCTAAAAACACAAATTCCTTAATAGTTAATTTATAAATATATATATGGGGAATTCCACGCCAAATCGACCACTTTTGACCCAACTTCTTTCGATTTGACTGAACTTTTTAAATTTTCTACCCCACTAAAAATGTTTCTCAGAATTTTTCCAATATACATATTTACCCAACCAAAGAAAAGTTACGAATTTTCAAAAAAATTGCCAATTTTCTTTTAAAATACACATAACTTTGTCAAAATTTGTCTAAATGGGGTGTTTTTTTTTGTTTTGAATGAACTTTTCAGAAAAAATACAAAAAAATTTGGGAAAAAAGACATTTTTTTGAAAAATTTTTAACATGTTTTTGGTCGGGTGAAATAAACTAAAACATTCTAAGAAAAATTATTAGTGGGGTAAAAAAATATAACATAATTTTAACCAAATCAAAAGGGTCGGGTTCAAAAGTGGC